AAAAAGATGCATATATTAGTAAACAGTATGATTATAAATAGCTAATCAAGTTGTTTTGAGTAGCAAAATCAAGTTATACCGGTACGGAAAATTCAAACAGAGGGCTTAATAAATTTTAAGATGCAAGATTTGTTCAACTCTTCATCATTCTTAAAATATTTATATCATCATTCCTGATTCAAGGGAGAACTAGAGATATGACCAAAAGTCTATATATGTTGAATAATAAACATATACATGTATGTTGGAGAAGAGTAAATAATGATTGTCATCATTATTTACTCTTCTCACAGAGGTGGGATTAATATTCATAAAGCTTTGGAGTTTTCAACAATTAAGACATGCAGATGTAACTCCTTCCCCTTTCCCCACTACCCAGACCCCAGTTTGTTCATGTATGCAAACCAATACTTTGTTTTGACATAAAAAATGTGAATAGATACAAATATGTGCTTAAAGTTTAAAGGTGCATCTTTCTGAATGATTTTCATTCCTAAATCTAGGAGGATGGGTTGATCCAAAATCTTGAATGGAATGTCAAGCAATTTTATTCATGATGCACTTCTAAATTTGATGCAGGTCATACTGTGAACATTTCGAGTTCAAGGGTGTGGTGATGGCTTCCATGGGTTCATAACCTTTATACTATTAGATACATAATAACACAAGAAACAAAATCATACATGGTCAGATGGAAAAGTTTCCAATCATTTTTGAGCTACATGATTATTTGTCATTTCTGGGACAGAGGCGGCCAGGGAGACCTCGGGGTAGGGGGGTCATGACCTCTTATATCATTTAATCCACGGGTACTTGGGTCTTGGATTAAAAATATGTATTTACCTTATTGATATGTAAAAAACTTCTTTACTTCATAACTATGCACTAAGCAGAAGATTTTCAAAGAATTAACACATTTTCAATACATTATCAATAGACCCCCCCCCCCCAAGAACCCAAGAACCGTTAGATCCCCTGATCATGGGACCACAAGTTTTAAAAAAATTGTAAGAAGCACCCTTGCTCATCATAACTGTGTTTGTCTGCTCAATACTAAGGAGCAGACAGAATTTTTTGATAAAATTAATGCATTTTTACTATGTTATCAATTTAGCCCCACCCTTACACAAGAACATCTGACCCAGGGGCCATGAAAATCACAATTCTGGAAGAAGCACTCTTACTTGTCAAAGCTAAACACTTAGTTTCTTTGCTATGTAACCAGGAACAGAAAAGAATATTTTCAAAGAAATTATGCTTTTTCACTATATGATCAATTAGAGCCCCGACCCCCCTTCCACCAGAACCCCCGACCCTGGGGCCATGAATTTCACAATTTTTGAAGAGGCATCCTTTCTTATCATAACAATACACTTAGTTTGTTTAAATAATACCCAGGGACAGAGAAAAAGATTTTAGAAGAATTAATGAATTTTCACTATTTAATTAATAGAGCCCAGCCCTAACAACAGAATCCCTGACGCAGGGGCCATTAAATTCACAATTAAGGAAGAGCAACCTTGCTCATCATTACTATGTACTTAATTTGTTTGTTTAATACACAGGAGCAGAGAAGAAGTTTTCAAAGAAATGATGCACTTTCACTATATTATCTATAAAGCCTCACCCTAGCACCAAAACCCCTGACCCTGAGGCCATGAAATTCACAATTTTGGTAGAGGCCTCAATGATTATTACAATCTTGCCAACAGTTTGACTGCTTGATGTCCAGGAGTAAAGAAGAAGATTTTTAAAGATTGCATAAATTTTGCAGTTTTAGCCCCATCCCTCAAGCCCCAGGGGTCAGGGACCATGAAATTCACAATATTTTTTTTCTCCTTTTCCCATAGATGCTTCATGCCAAAATTGGTTGAAATCTGTTCATTGGTTTTAGAGAAGAAGCTGAAAATGTTCAAATGTTAACACACGACGCACGTCGCAAGACAGACGACTGACGACGCACAGCGACGGACGAAAACAGATAGCAACAGGTCACCTGAGAGACTCAGGCGATTAGAAAGTTAGTCAAGATTTGACTTAATGATAGGTTGTATTTGCTAACAAGTTATTGTATCGACCATAAAACTTGAGAAATGATGACTTCAAAAGAGACTGTTGATATCCCTGCTTCATCAACTTGTTTGTCAATTGCCTGCCTCGTTTTAGAATTATCCGTGTATCATGCTCTTGCGTATCGAATCAACTGGGAGACATAAACCCCGTAATCAGGAGATAAGGTTATATTGCTATATAAGTAAGGGAAGATGACGATTGAAAAAATGACGTCATCACGTTTATCATAAAGCTTTGTTATTAGGTTACCATTAAAGTCTTTTTCTAGTTAAATATCCAAATATGAAACAGATGTGTCAGACTCTGTGGTATATTTTATTTCAAGCTCACTGGGATATATCGGTTCAAGATACGAATGGAAGTAACTATTGATAATACGTTGTCGATATATCTAAATGGCGAGTTGAAGGCCAACAAGTGTTTTCTTCTTCTCATGTAAAATTTTTTAAATAAATTCTGCTTCATATGAATACAAAAATAGGTCTGCTAATAAGGGGGCGTAAATGGTACCTATGGAACCTCAAACAGATTCCAACAGATAGTTAGGAGACATTATCTCCAAAAACTACATACAAGTACAGTGTATACGAGAATTACCAAAAAGTTCGTGGACAAGCGCCATAAAATTAAAACCACTATATGTACATCAATGAATTTTTAAACGTTTATTAGGCATCATCTTTTCTATCTGTAAAATAAACTAAATCATAATTTTAATTTTTTAGTGAATCGTAAATGTTTTTGGAAGCAATGTTATGTCCAGGCGGCGCAACCTCGAACATGACGTATTTTCCACCTGAGTGTAACTGCGAAAAGTCTTCTAATATGAGCATTTGTCATCCGAAAATCCCATGAATTCACTCATTTTTTTCGTAAAAGTTGCGATTTTTACCTCATTCTGTATATTTTATGAAATTTTATCGTAAATTTTATACTGAATGTCCAAACAGTAAAGGGGTTAAAAATGACGTCGAAGGGGGGTAGGGGGGTCATTTTACAACATTCTATAAAGTTTCAGTTCCTGGAAAACCTGGCATAGACTTAGAAAATAAATAAACAGGCTACATACCATGAATATATTGTCAATCAGAAACTCAAGCATTTATTTAATATCAACTTCAGAGTACTTTTGTGTACATTCAGAATTCAGAATGACAAGGTACATGTAAGTATATTTATGAGTTTCATGTTTATTTAAAAGCAGCTGACTATGATGTCAAAAAGCCTGGACTTAAATGAATCGTGGGTATTGGTCATATAAAGTGTTGAAAAGTTGTACGTTTTGATGTTATTGAACAGATTTTGTCAAAATTTTGTGATTTCAAATTTTCTAAAAGTTCCTTGGAGTTTGTAAGTGTCCACGTCTGATTTACACCACTTCTCGAATATACTGTTGTACAGTACTCCTGAAGTTTCTCCTTCATTGCTGTAACTATTTAAGTGAGGAATAAAGAAGGAGGCTTGGTAAAACATTTACTGGTACCCGCTATATATCTTTGCTTGTAAGCATTTTTATGGACTTTTGGAATCCAGTATAAGCATGGTAATTCATTTTGATTGTTGTGAATATTAAAAATATTTAAAACTGACATATGGTTTTGAATAATTTCCTCCTTAGAAAGGGAGCTTTTAGCATAAGTTGCATTGCCACTTGCAGAATTAAATCCTAGTCCCTCTAATGTACAGTTCAAATAATGAGCCTTACAAACAAAGACAGCGTTGTTACCTGCTTTGATAGTGGGGACTAGTACATACTGATCATGTAATTTATCTAATTCTTGTTTCACTTCTGAAAAGACAGAAGGATAGATGGTTTTCATATTGCCCCTCAATCGCTTAATGCGCGATTTCAACATCCATCTGATACATTTACCCCATTCTGATAAAGTGTCAGGGTCTTCTTTTTCGAAAATCAGTTCATTAATATGTATTTTCATGTTCTTCAATTTAGAGCGAGTTTCACAATAAAAATTCCACGACACTATTTTCAACGTTCTAGGGTCTAAAATCCACACCTTTGGTCTCAATATTCAACGTTGAAAAATGACCCCTTGGGTCAATTTTCAACCCGGGTCAAAATTCGAAGCTACATTGACCAAGGACTGTATTCTCAAGGCATTAAAAATTATAAAGTTTTAGGGCACAACCTTAAAAATTCTTTGAGGACAAAAATGAATAATTAATAAATAAATAATAATAAATAAATAAATAAACTAGATAAAATTATAAATATGTCATCAGACATTTTTCGGGAGCAAGGGGGTGGGGAGGGGGATTACAGCTAAGTAAACATTACCTTTGTTTTCTATTGAATATTATATCCATGTAAAATTATTGTGGACACCCCATCCCCCAGTTTCTGCGAGCCTTGACTATATGCTCTCAAGATCAGGAGTTAGAAAATACATGTATTATTTTTATATCTCCCTTTCTCTCTATTAATTATTACATTTTACATTTCAGATAAAACATTAAAATTTTTACAGAACGTCGTTGGTGGAACTTTTCATAGTTCTCATGCGAGATAACTCAAGCACTAATGGAGAGATAACTCCTGCCCAGTCACCCTGCGAGCAGTACCAGATAGCCTCAACCGTAATCATTTTGATATAGTTCATCTTCAAGGTAAAAATAAATGTATTTATGGGCATCTGCTTTTTCTCAGCATAAATTGAATGGGAATAAAACACACTTTAATTTTAGTGGTAATTTCTTTTTATATAAATATTATATGATTTAGCGTTATGAAATTATATATCTCTAAAACATATTTTAATATTCATATCTTTTTTTTCGAATTCTGATGTTGATAATATGGGAAACATGGATTTCTTTTTTAAGGTTAACCGATACAGCAGACAGCTGGATATAATTGCCAGCTATCTGAAATGAAGCCTGTTTGTTTTTAATTTGAAATTAATACTCACATAATCTTATAACGGCTTCATGGATACAGACATCATGGATTGTTTTGTGTGCAATGATATCTACATCCATCTTCTGTATAACTCTCTCGTTGTATTCAGGAGGTACAATGATACATATTTCCTCTTTCTTCTCCACATAACCAGATGTTGCAAAATATTTCAGAACTATTTCAGATGTTGGAAGATTTGTGAGAAGTGCATAGTAAACAAAACATTCAAAGTTTGTACAACTCCTCTGGTCAAATGCATCTGAAAAAGATTACCTAACGTTAATGTACAATGTACGCTACAATAAGATATTTCCAAATTCAATTTGATTCAGAAATAATTGTATAAAATGAAAAAAATGAAAAAGTATCTTAATACCATTTGTCTTCCAAGGGTCTCCTGTGTATTCAAAGTTTTTATCTATCAAACTTTTCAGATAGATATTTGCCACTGAGCGCGGCAATAAAATGAAAGATTCGTCTGGATGTTGGATGTATCCTTCCAATCTGAAGAACTTCTTCGTGAGTGTTCTCAATTTATTATCAAAAATATATTTCAGGACTTCCTTTGGAGATCGACATTGGTTTAACATAATCCAAAGAGTCTCCAGTACCACCTCATCAGACAGTAATTTGAAAAAACTGTTTGTTGATTTGTATGAGGAACATGGTTTTAAGCTGGAAGCAACACTCTTATATTCTTCAATTTTGTGAGGAATTTCGGTCATAAATTGTTCTATGTCTTTCAACACGTTTTTCGTCCATGAAAACTTAAAATTATTGCTGAGCAAAGCTGCACATTTTAAGATTAAAACCAGTCTGGAATTTCTGTTAGGGTCGTAAATATTACCTACAAAATCATATAACGTACAATGTTAGCTTGCAATTTGTGAGAGACTGCTAGAATTCGAAGAAGGTTTGATGACTTCTCATGAACTTACTTTGAACAGAAGGTGATGAGACACTTGACATCTCTGTCAGAAGCACTATACATGGTTTCTCTTTTTCGGATTCAGACCCCCAAATTGAAAAGAAATCCGTGGTTTGGGTTTCCTCAAGCAAATTATCCTCATTGATATCATAAGTTACTCCAACAAGCTTTAGTTTTTGGATTTCTGATTAAAAATTTATGTTTTCTATTAGAAAGATAGTATAATTGTTACACATAACTGTACTTAGAGTACTGAGTAGATAAATAAGAATTGCCCCAATTCTAGGTTAATAGCATTTTAACATCCTAGATTTTAATTTCTTACTTTGGATGTTTATAAAAATAAACATTTTACATGTAAAGAGTGCATTGAAGTCAAAATATAATCACTTTAACTGTAATGACAAAAATGTATGTATAGATGCATTTATCAAATGTATGCCAAAATTTATTTATGTTATCATTAAGCAGTTCTTGCATCAATATACATGTAGAAATGTATAATTTCAATGACCAGTTTCACTTGTGGCATATACTAGATGATTCCCTTTAGTAGGGATATTGAAATTTTTGTATCACGATACATCATTTTTTTTTTTGTCTAAAATATCAGCATAATATTTTGATATTTTTACAAAGAATCTTTAGTAAGATTTCAAATCAATTTTCCATAATTTCTCAATGAAATATGTTGTGGAAACTATCTTCTCTTTTTTCATTTTAATTAATATATTTAATAAAGCTTGTTTATACTTTGATGCTAGAATGTTGTTGTTTTACATTTTTTATTTATTTATTTATTTATTTTTTTTACAATTCTGGTAATTGTAATTCAAAAATTAATTATTTCCAGAAGTTATAATAACATACTAAATACCGTATTTTAGTCTCCTTATAACGATACGTATCGCGCTATTAAAAATCACGATGTACCTGTATACTTATAAATTCGCGTATCCCTACCCATTAGATACTCTTTAGCAAAACAACACGAATTCAAAAAGTTCATGCAATTTCCAATATATTTTCAACATTCACAATTATTTTATTACTCCCTCTATCAACCAATCACGCTTATCTTTATACACAATCTTAAGTTTATAATAAATTAATCTAGAAAATTGCATTTCATCAGTAAACCAATGCTACATCAAAGAAATATATACTAGATATTTTAAATCTCTTTAAAGTTCCAAGTACAATGTACATAACCTGTATTGTTAGAGGCTAAAATCTAAAAACATGGTATCGGTGATGCTTCCGCGATATAATGTCATGAAGATAATCATTAATAAGTTATTGCTTTGATATAATATGTGAAATTTTGATATACTTAAATAGCAGATGAAGTTACTGCAACACGGAGACGTTTTGTACCATCACTGGGAAACTGCATCTTTATGGAACACGGTAATTATTTTATCCCCCCCCCCCCGCAAAGAAGATAGTAGTCTGAAAGATTTAATCAATAAACAGGTCTGAACGATTTCCAAATTTGGAAGTCAAGAACGATTGACTGATTGACTGTATGTAGTTGTACGTCCAGTTCGAGAATTTTTTTCACTCATTTAGAGACGACACCATATACCGGTGAAGGACTTCAAATATAGACCTTTACTCCGCACTCAGGGCCATTTAGCAATGAGAGATCTTTATCGTGCCAATGCCTACCATGACACGGAGCCTCGGCTTTTAAGGTCTCATCCGAAGGACCTGAAACTTTTACTCCAAAGTGCCGAGCGCTTGGCGAAGGAACATTTGCTACCTATTTTTTTTATCGACTTAGGTCAGTTGCGGCCATGATTCGAACACACGACCTTAAAGTCACGGAGCGAGCGATCTACCGACTGTAGTCAAGAAAGATAACCACCACTTCCTATAAATGCTCAAAATAAACAAACCGCTAATGCTTCTGGCCAATCAGGTAACGGCTTTTAGACAAACCCATGAGAAAATAAACAAAACATATGGTTTTAAACTTTTTTGCACAAAAGATTTTTTAGAACAAAATTTATGTAAACTTTGTGCATATTAAGGAATAAAACAGTATATATAACAATTCTGCCGTGAATAAACACGGCTTGAAAAGCTTAGAATAAATTTTAAGTGGAATTGATATTTGTCACTATGAGATAGCATTCCTCAATGGTTAATTTGCGTTAAGAAATTTTATATAAATACCTCAGACTTTTAGTTTTTAGAGCCCGGCATGCGGATATTTTGGTATTGGGTATATAGCAGTCTTTATTGTTTCCTTTGTATAACAAAATCATCCAGGTTCTGGTATGGGTAGTAAGTTATGAAAAGTTTTCATTTTCATTCCTTTTTCCCCATATTTTACAATTTTCTTTTTGCAAGTTTAAAGTATTTATAACATAGTATTTATCCCGCACTCACGAAACCTGTGATCTTTTTTAAAACTAGTGTATACGATGAACACTTGCGTGCTGTAGATAAGTTCATGTTAACGATGAAAATCGGACGGCTATGCAAAATTATATTTACCAACATAGAGCATTAATTTTTCTGGTAAAGTTATAATTGTAATTAATAATAATCTGACGATGCGATCGCATTTTGTTACACAGTTACATGCATTGATGTTTTTTTTTTTTTTTTCGAGATTAATATGTCAAGTTAATTCACGGTAAAAATTTGAGGAATACCCTATTCTTCAATTTTTTTATTCTTACTTCTACAAGTATTTTGTCAAAAAATCTTTTTGAGGGAAAGAAAAAAACAGAAGCACGTGACGTACTCTTTTGTTCCTTTGAAATCTGTTTTAGGGTGTGTAAAAATGCTGTTTTCTGATTGGGCAAAAAGGGCAAAAAAATATTTACGTTTATATGAAGTATATTTATTAGAACATTCAATTACTGTTCTTGACTTCCATATTTGAAAATCATCCGGACCTGTTAAACGTAACAGAGGTTGCAATACCCAACAAAGCGTTTTACAGGCTTTTTTATTCATTGAAGGGGGGTGAGATGGTGTTCTTAGTCACGACAGGGTTGTGCATAGAAATAAAAGAATATTAAAATACTTGCTGCTTTACTACAAATAATGGTAGGTAGTAATTCATTATCTCAAATAAAGATAAAAGTTCGGAATAAGTTGATTTAAAAAATAAATAATAGTAAAAAGTTATTGCTTTGTATATGCGAAGGGCAAAATTCCCCTAAACACAAATTTGTACAACAATGTATGCTCATCAATAAATTGCCAAATACCGAAATTAGACGAATGATCAGAGAGAATTACAGCGCCTTCTATGATTCATCCTTTCAAAGAAAGGGTTAATAAGTTCCGACGAGAATACATTTAGTTTACATGTAGCCTCGGCTGATATTTGGCTTGCACATAATTTATCTATATATAGGATCGACCGAAGTCGGGTGTGAATTTTCTGACTTGAATTACAACGGACTGTCTCAAGACTCAGAGAAGTCATCAGTCCAAATATCAAGCCAAGCCGAATCTCATTCAAGATGAACAATCAGTACATTTTGGTAGCATACAGACCTACTGTAACAGGGTAGGTGGATCGCTTTCTCCTTATAAAGCATCCCCGTCGAGTTGGTAATCTAAATCCTTGATATACACCACAGTCCTTCTCAGAGAAATAGTTGATTAAAATTCTTCTGCCATCAATAATATATTTGTTTGAGAAGTCATTCACAGCAATATCAATATTGTCCTTCTTCCATGCATCTAGTTTACTATTTAATCCCTCTAGTGATATGTAATTTCGCTTCTGTAGGATCTCTAATAACGAGAGAACATAAAACATGTAGGCCTAGTTAATGAATCAGATTTAATGAGACTAGTTCTACTGCTATGGACATACACTATACACCTTAAATGTCCTTATAAATATGAGGATCATTCAAAAAATACGGAGTCAATTTCGATCGATCTTCATCATAATATTTCTACAAGATTTAAGGTCAACATAATTTTAATATATTCGGTCAGTGTATACTATGTATTCAAGATATATTACTAAAGTCAGGTAATCTTCACAAATTTTCTATGAAAAAGTATAGTTCCATTCCTGATAAGCAGATACAATAATCTAAGCGAGATTCGTCGAAACTAATATTTTAGACAGACGTCTCCTCCGAATCTCGGACCAGTGTCACACAAAGTGACTCGGGAAATCTTGCCCGGACTTCGACCGCTTGTTTCGATCAATACGTGCTGAAATGAATTCCCTGCTCACTTCAACTTTTCGCTTTGGACATCCTTTTAACTCCCTATCACCAGAGACATAAATAACAGAGATTCGCAACTCTACCATTAACATGTTTGTTTATTGAAATATG